AAAGTGTACATAAAAGACCAGGCAAGGTAAGCATAACAAATATTATCTAAGTATTTACTAAAGCATTTTCTTTTTTAATGAATTAGCAGATATCCTAAGACTTATTTTAAAAGGCCTATTCAAAGCCAAGCTGTACAATTTAACCTAATGTGACACTGGGAAAGACACTGGGACTAAGCATTAGATACTTTACTCAAGAAAAATGTCTACCTTAGGGGCCGGCTGTGCAGCTCACTGGTAGAGCGCCTGCCTGCCTAGCAGGTAGGAGCCTCTGAGTGCCAACTCCAGTAAAGGGAAAAAAGAAAAACCCACACACAAGGAATGATCAAAATGTACAGTGAATGTTTAATTTTTTTGGAAAAATTATTACAGTAAGACACACTACCATTAATCCCCCCTCAAAATACTCACCCTGGCTTCAAACACACTTATCCCATCATTCTTGCCACTTTCTGAAGCAGTTCTGGAAATCATCTTTTGTTAACCCCGTTTCTGTCTATCCCCATTTGTAGTCTAAGTAAATTTTGTCAAGACCCAAACTCCTCAAAATCCTCCCAAAGAGTTCCAAGCATCAACTAACCAACCCTGGTAGCAAGAAATCAACTGGCCTTTGCAATATCAGCTTCCACTATGCCTGACAGGGTAAAAGTATAACATCCAAGTCTTTGGAGACTTCTGTACTCTCAGAAGACTCAATATCCATTACCATCTGTCCTCTAAAACTCAAGTGGATCCCTTACCACAAAACAAGCATGACTGCTTTTCTCTCTCAAATACAACAGTACAGTATTATACTCCTCTCTTACGGACAGCACATATATAACAAGTATAACAAGTACAAGTATAAAGTGTAACAAGTATAAAGATGCCTATCAGTTTTCTATGATTTATAAACTTACACAGAGAGCAGAGGAGGAATCTTACAGGCCACCCCAAAGTACTCCAAAAGTCTCCGTATCTGTTGAGAAGACTTTTCTAAAATAAGAGGTAAGCAAGGGAAAATTTTTCAACTTTAGAAGTCATACCATTCTGCTATAAAGTACTACGTGATTTTCACCTCTGGAACAATCATCAGTCTAGATGCTTCCAAACAGATTTGAGTCAAAGCTCATCTTTCCTCTGAAGCACATGATTATTATTCTGAAATCTCATGCAAGAAATAAACAAGCAGCTTCTAATCCAAAGTATGAGAAGTGTTCATTCCTTGCCCTCCTCATAGAGAATAGGGTAAAAGCCAAAAGAAAGATTTGGTTTTTTAAAGTGCTAAAATGGGAAAACGAAGAGCAAGACCAAAGAACATGAGAAGTACACACTTTTTGATGCTTCAATTTTGAAACGAGATTAATAAAGTCTAATAATTTCATTCAATAATTCTCATCTGTTCTTCTCAGGATTTATCTGGAAATAAAGAATTTGCAGAAACACTATAGTACATGAATGAGTTACATACACTTTAATCTTTTTATCTCACAATATTCCTTTCTCAATGTTTAAGATGTTCAATGATTAACTCAACAAACATTTGACACCTACTACATGCCACAAAATTAGACATCATGGGGGCAAAAAGAGTAAGACAAAGCCCCTGCCTTCTAGAAAATGACAGCCAGGTCTGGAGTGTTGGTGGTTAACTTATGTAACAATGTTAATGGCTGTTTCGGTGATATGAGGAAGGACAAAAAGCAGTCAAATGGGAGGAGGAGTCAAGAAAAGTTTAACAGAGAAGGGAGACATCTGGGTAGGAAGAAGTGGAGGCACATCCCAAGAGTGAACGTCACATTCAAAGGCAGAAAGATGAATCACGGCCCTTCACAGCCTTCCTTATTCATAGAACACTGGCATTTTTATTATGTGCAGACACATCAGAAATGTACAGTCTCAAAAAAAATTAAAAAGGGAAATATACAAACATTACAGTTCGAGAAGCCCTGCTGCAAAGTCCTCAGAGTAGTTTGGCACTGCTCTAACACAGGAAGCCTGGGAAGCAACAAAATAAGTAGAGCTCCAGAGGCAACTCTAGCATAAAGTACCTCAGCTAGCATCTGGACCTTACCCTGGAACCAGCAGAAGCTACCCTGGGTCTTAGCTGCAGATAGGAAAATAACATGATCAATTACCAGGGACACTAGGGCAAGATGATGAGGGGTGAAGGACAGGGTACTGATTCCAGATGAAGTAGATCTCACAGGATTTAATCACTTGTGCAATCAGTAAATGAAGCAGCAGTGAGATATGAATGAGGAATCAAGCATAAAGATCCCAAGGTTATTTCTGGGAAACAGATAAAGTGACATTCACAGAAACGGAACACAGGGAGAACAAATTTGGGAGGAAAGCTGAGTCCAAGTTGAGATATACTGAGTATGAAGTACCTTACCTGAGCGAGGGGGAGACATCTAGGAGACAGTGCATACCAGGAGGGTAAACAATGTTATCATCAGAAAGATAGGTGACGTCAATGCCCTGAAAATCAGAGGTCACTCCCAAGGAAAATGAAAAAAGTGAGAAAAAAAGAAGCAACAAAGTGAGAAAAACCCTAATAAAGAAAATCAAGAATGATACCATCAGTGCCAACAAAAGGGTCACAAGAAGGTGAAATTAGGAGGCAGGGCAATGCATTAGAGGTTAAAGTCTACAAAAGTAGATTTGATAATTAAGACATCCTTTGTAAAAAGTAAATAAACACACATTTCACATACATATAAATGATTAGATGGATATGCAGCATATTGCTCTCTCAAGAATCAGGGTAATTTTTAGTTTATTTTTTTCTCCCCTGCATTCCTTTTGTTTTGTTTTATTTGTTAAGAGGAAATATTTGAGAACGATAGCTTCTAAGAGACACAGAAGGGGCACCAGAAAATGGGTTGTCCCTTCTCCCCTGTATTCTGCAATTGCTCCTCAAACCACATGCATTTTAGTTTCTAAACTACAACAAAATAAATAAATAAGATGAACTTTGCCAGTGGTAGTAGTGGGTAGAAGAGCAACGAATCAAAGTGAGGAAATGCAGGAGACAGGGGAGTATGGACAAGGAAGAGAGAATGGGAATCTTCTACCAGGTGGGAAAGATGTGGGCATGCTTACATGCTGCAGGACAGGAGGCTGCACAAAGTATTCAGAGCCTAGGAAAAAAAAATACCTTCATGCCTGCTAAGATCTGAGCACACAGTAGTGAGCAAGAGAAAGTACTTGGAGCTTACTTTCTACTAAGGAAACAGAATAAGTAGATAGTAAGATGTGTCATGGATAAAACTAAAACAGGGTAGTGTAGTTTTTTAGACTGAGTGTTGAGGTCAGGCTTCAATGAAGAGGCATTTAAATTGAGTCCTGAGTGACAAGAAACCAGCTTTATAAAGACAGGGAAAGGGGGGCTTAGCTCAGTGGTTCCCCCGCCTGAGGTGCAAGGTCTCGAGTTCGATCCCTGGTACCAAAAAAAAAAGATAGGGAAAGGGCCTGATTACCTCTACTTCACAGATAACGAAAATGAGGTTTTGACAGGTTAAGTAAGATGTCTAAGATCATGCAGCAAGGAAATGGAACCCAGGTCTGATGAACACTCAGACCAATACCATTTCTACTAAACTGTATTCACTCCTTAGTTATTTAGTTTTTCTCAAATACAACAATGAAAACAACACTGACCCTTCCCTAACCTCAAGAATATTAAGGACTAGAGAAAAATAAAAGTGGCACAACTTCCTCAAAATAAACTCTGAAAAACAAGAGCTGTAGTCCTAAGAAAGCAGAGGCAGGATTTCTGAGGGTTAACTGTCCAGGTCTAATAAAAAAATATAAGCAGACTCCAAATTACACACAGGCCATTCCAAAGATTTACAACTAAGTTGTTAAAAAATCATAAAACATTTCCTTCATATAATTTTATGCAGAAACTAGGTTTCCAGGCTGGTTCACAAATTAAGTTATATCACAGTAACTAATAAAGCAGTTACCACTATCCGACCCTATATTAAGTGCTTTATACAGATAAATTTGAGCAATAATATTGACACACCATTATTGTCTCCATCTTACATGATCTGTTCAATGGCACAACGAAAATAAACTAAGAAGCCTGCAGTCCAGCTCCCTGACATTCCAGATCATTAGCGCATCTTTATGCTAGACCCCAAAGCACTTTCATCTATAGGTCTTCCAATACCAGTTTCTCTGCAATGCTAAAACCTACACACCATCAGATTCTGATGTGAGGGGATTAAGGAAGGTTGACAAAGCCTATGCCAAACCTATCTCCCTAGAATCTCAGTCCACGAGGACATTTATTCACACGTTTCATCCCCAGTGAGGATTTAACTTGCCTTTACACCCCCAGATCCCAAGAAATTGTGCCTTCCATGTGTTCACTTATTCAGTGTCACTTACAGATCCCACTGTGACAATTCCCAAACCACACCACTTTCATAAATACTGAAAGAAAATGCCATTCAAGAAAACGCAAAAAAAAAAAAAAAGAAGAAAGGAAAAAAAGGCAGGCAAAAGCCCAAACTGATTATAGTCCAATGTCGAACTATCTGAACTATCGCAGGCTCACCCAAAACTCCCAACTCATCCTCCCAAAACGCTAAAACTCCCAAAGTCTCAATACTAGACGTGTACTGCAGTGATCCCACGTGGGTCAACATCCAAGACGGTCAATCGTAGGTGGGAGGATGCCACTATCCCCGGAGCATCCTTCAAAGCCCCCCTCAGCTTCACTGACGACCATCGGCACCCCCAGGGCAAAAGCCAGTCCCGCGGTGGAGACGACGGGAATCAAACCGGAAGCAAGGCATGCCCGCAACCATGACCTTGCGAAGGAGCTCATTCAACCCTGTCACCTGAAAACCTCCGGTGAAGAGCGTCGTCCAAGAGTCTGGGAAGCTTGGCCCTGGGGCGCCGAGGAGCGTGGAGAGGTCCCCCTTGGCGAGGTCCCCCTTGGCCTGGTCCCCACCAAGTCCGATGACCCTGCTGCAGCCTGGTAGAAAGGGCCCCACACTCACCCTGCAAAAGGCCGGGCACGAGCAGCCGGCAAACAAGAGACAACGCGTGGCCGGCCTGGGCCGGCCGCGAGGAAACGCAGGGACAACGGGAGGCGCGGGGGCACACCGGCAGCCAGGAGCCAGCGGGCAGGTCTCAGCAGCGCGGCCATGTCTCCCTAGTCCCCACAGCAGAGGCACGCTGCGCGAGAAGGCCAGAAGGAGCACGTGACGGCGGGGTCGCCCGGCGCGGGAGAGTCCAACGGCCAGACGCACCGAGCGTGGGGGGGGGGAGAGAGCTGCTGTCTGTTACAAAATAGAAAAACTCATTTCTGTGAGGAGTATAAGAGCTTCATCACATATTTTATTAAACTATATTGATGGTTGCATTATCTACGGTGTTCATTTTTCATCTTACATCCATCACCCGAGTATATTCACTTTCTCCCCACACTCTTCTCCTGGTGGAATCTCCAGAGGTCGACTCCGCCCAGGTTGGCGCAAGGGCTCGTGGGAAGCTGACTAGCGAGAACAAGGAGGGTTCTGAGAGGGGCTGACTGTGAAGATCCCGGAGGTTAGACGCATTCCTTTTCCAGAGTACTGCTCTCGCCTCCGATGTTCATTCAACAGTTCTTGCTCAGCCACCAAGTTCCGGCCGCACTCGCTGATAAGAACGAGTCTTCGTAACTGTCAGAAACTCTAGCCAGAAAACGTTGAGGACCTTCGCCCTGGACTATGAGCCCCCAACGTTAAATACAGCGTGGTATCGATGCAGCTTATGGACAGTGTAAATAAATACATTGCAGATCTAACCAAAGTGCATACTCAGTGCCTCATTTTTTGGGATAGATGAATGCTAACAAAGATTTTATAATTTAAAGCTGGAATTGAACTCTCTCCTTCCTGACCCTACCCCACACCTCCCTTCAGTAAATGCTCCTGTGCAGAAAGTAAGGCACCGGTGTAATTAAGAGTGCGGCCAGGTCCTGTATACATTAAACGCTCCTGCCTTCACTAGGCCTGCAGACTGGAAGGGTTTCCTGTCCACACGTGGGAGGCCAGGAACAGCCCTCCACTCCCTCTTCACCTACCTGACCATCACCAGGTGAATGTTCAGATATTTCCCCGGAAGGCTTCCCACAGTCATTTTCTACTGGCTGTATACCTGGGAACAGTGAACTCCTCTAGAGCAAAGACCTTTTACTGTAGCTGGATCATCTCTATCCAGTGCCAGACACACAGTAGGTTGGTTGCATTACATTTTTATGGAATTGATATGTATTTGGAGGTTACTTAGCTCACCTCTCCTTTGAGAGATGAGGGAGCTGATATCCAGCCCCTCAGAGAAACGTTGAATAATTTAGTGTGCAAAGCTAAATTGGGGAGTGGAGGGGACTTGAGATGGGGGGAATGGGATTAAAAAAATAATAATACTTTAGTCTGGGTTATACTACTGAACATTAAAGTATACTTTATTTATTTTGTCATTCAACACTTATCTTTTGAACACATTATTTACTAGGCACTATTTGAGATCTTGATGATACAACAGTGAGCAGAACAGGCCCAGGCTACAATCTGATGAAACTCTCCAAGGTTTAGTTTGTGATGTAAAATAAATCAGAGTAAAAGGATAGAGAGTGTGTGGAGTGAGGGATTTGTTATTTTAGATAGGACTAGTCAGGAGAAAAAACAAAACAAAACAAAAAACAGAATTACCAGCGGAATGAAAGAAGGGAGGAAACCTAAAACGGATGTGGTGGCTGACCCCTATAATCCCAATGCCCAGGAGCCTGAGGCAGGTGGATTGCCGTGAGTTTGAGGCCAGCCTGGGCTACATAGCAAGACCATGTCTCAAAAAAAAAAAAAAAAAAAAAGATTTTCTAGAGAAGAGGAGGAATAAAAGAGTGCTCCTGTTTTATAAAAAACAGCAAATATAGCCAGAGATTTAGCCCAGTGACACTGCTCCGGCCTTGCAAGTGCAAGGTCCTGAGTTTGATCCCTGGTACAAATAAACAAACAAAAAACCCAGCAAATAGCAAAACCCTGAGCCAAAAACAAATGTACTCATCCAAAGAATGACTAGGAGGAAGACCGAATGAAAGATCAGAGGGTATGGGGTGGATATGAAGGTCAGGAAAGTAGTTGGGAGCCAGAGTATGTTGGGCATTGCAAGCGGCCTTCAGGACTTTGACTTTTATTCAGTATGAGATGGGAAGCCGATGGAAAGTTGCTGTGATTATGAATCCATTTGCCCTTTTTTTCTGTGTACTTCAGGCTGGCCTCAAACTCTCCATTGCCTCAGCATTAGAAGCATGCACCATCAAGCCTGGTTTCCCATTTGCATTGCTTAAAGGTTCACTCTGGCTGTTTGAAGAGGAGATTTTTAGGGGGAGAGGAGTAAATAAAAGTAGGAAGACCAAAGAGGCAGTTCTTGCAATAGTCCAAACCAGAGCTGGTGGTGGCTCGGGCTACAAAGTGGCAGGTGAGATGATGAGAAAAGGTTAGATTCTCACTCTCTTTAAATAGTAGAACCAAGAGGATTTACTCATGGTTTGGCTGTGGGGATGTAAGTCAAAGATGACTCCAGAGTTTTTAGCCTGAGCAACTAGATAGATGGAGACGACCCTAATTTAAATGGGGAAGACCAAAGAAGAAGCAGATTTAAAAGGTGAAATAAGAAATGATGTTCTATAATAGTAAACTTGTACCTGTGAGACATGCAAGTGTCCAATTTGAGTATGGGAGTAACTAGAGGACAAATAAGATGAGTTCAGAGGAAAAGTCAGAGTTAGAGATAAATTTGAAGATTTACAGCTATAGAAATGGATGAAATCACTTGGGAAGAAAATGTAGGTAGTGAAGAGATGAACTCCAAAAATTAAGGCTTGTAATATCTCAGTCAAGGATATGTAGATGAAAATGTAGCAAATAGAGAGGAAGAAGAAATCCAAAAGTTTCAAATAACTGAATGAAGAAAGTCCTTCAAGGAGGGGTTAACCACATAAAATGATACTGCTCTGGTAAAACGAGCATTCTACATTGACCATAGGATTTGACACTCAGAGGTCCTTGGTGATCCTCAGAAAAGCCATTTTCATGACATGTTGAGTCAAAAGATTGATGGAAAGCTAGGTGTGGTGGCCCACACCTGTGATCCCAGCACTCAGGAGATTTAGGCAGGAGGATCACCGGGAGTTCCAGGCAAGCCTGAGCTACATAGTGAGTTCAAGGCCAGCCTGAACTACATAGTGAGACCCTGTCTCAAAAAAAGAGGATTGAGATGAGTTTAAGAATATGTGGAAGAAGAGGAAGTGAAGACAGGGAGGACAGAAATCTTTAGTATATTAGGAAGGAGGGAGCACAGAAATGGAGTGTTCTCCAAAAGGGGGATGGAGTCATCAAGAGAGGTTTATTTTATTTAAGAAGGGAGAAATCACATATTTGATATAGATGGAAATCATCCATGTGTGACTAAATTTTAAAACTTAAAAGTTTTACATTCAATTTCTCATTTCAAGAACTCAATAGCCACAAGTAACTAGTAGCTGCCATACTGGACAACATAGAGAACATTTCCATTATCAAAGAAAACTCTATGGGACAGTGCAGTGTGGAGTGAAAATTGATAATGTAGGCACCAGGGGAAAAGATTCAGTACAAAGGGCAAGGGGTTGGCTTTAGAAAAGAATGCAGACAGTCCAGGCATTGTCAGGGAAGGAAGACAATCAACATGGGAACAGATGCCACAGAGTGGGTAGGAGCAATGATGAGAATGAATGGATATATAGATGGTCACTTTTAGATGTTTGTTACTCTGAAAACCTTGCTCCTGAGCCAGGATTCTCTTGAACTCTTGAAGTCTATAATAACTACTAAAGAAATTTACCTGGGCAGTCGTTTATCCGCTGATGAATTGATTCATTCACTATGTATTGGACTCCTACAGTCTGCCAGCTTTAGCAGCAAATTTAATTGCTAGAAAAAAATATGCTGGGGAAAACTATGCTAGAAGTGATTCTTACAGTTATGGAATTTACATAATTTTAGGCAGATATTCATCAAGTAATCACACTAGATGGATTACATAGTAAAATACAGGTTCTGAAGAAAAGAGACAGGATTCCATAAGATGGTGTGCCTCACCTGGGAAATCAGAAAGTCTTCTTCATGGAATACAGGGATCCTGAGGTTGAGGTCTGAAGGATGTAGCTAACACATGCAAAGTGCAGGCACATATGTGAACACGGTATATAAAAGAGCGTAGAAGAGAAAGCGTTACTGTTTTTCAGTTCAGACTTACCAAGATCTTTTCAGATTTCCTTAGACATACTCCAGAAGCAGTATCTAGGTGATGAAATATACAGGGTGAGCATCCTTATTTTCTCCCATAACTTTCTTAGCTACACAATAGACTCAAATATTGGTTAGAAAATAGCTGGTCATGGTGGTGCACGCCTGTAATCCCAGCATTTGGGAGGCTGAGGCAGGACAATCACCACAAATTCAAGGCCAGTCTGGGCTACATAGGGACTCCAAAGCAAGAACAAAGTGAGACCCTCTCTAAAGAAAAAAATGAAAGAAAAGAAAATGAGAGTCTCTGGGACCAGTGAATGGAATAGCCTCTGAGCAGACTCTTATTAGGAAAAACAGCTTAGAAACCAGACTTTGCAACTGAATCCCTTGGTTTCCTTTTGTGTAAAACTGGTGACCCTTCCTCCTTCCTGCCAAGCTTTTTGGGAAACATTAGATAAAGTAAGTACTTACAGCCAGGCACATAGGAAACTCTGATAAATATTGCAGCTATTACAGTTGAAGCATCCCAATCCAAAACTCTGAAACCCAAAATGCTCTGAAATCTGGAATTTTTTGAGCACTCACACAACACTCAAAAAGTTTCAAATTTTTGCTAGATGTGGTGGCACATACCTGTAATCCCAGCTACTCAGGAGATTTAGGCACGAGAACTGCAAGTTTGAACCCAGGCTGGGCAACTTAGTGAGACCCTGTCTCAAAATTTTAGAAAGGCCAGGAGGGCAGGCTGCTGACTGAAAAAAAAAAAAAAAACCAATTTGAAATTTTGGGACATTTCAGAATTTTGAATTTTGAATTACAGGTGCTCAACTGGTAAAATGTATTCAAATACTCTAAATTTTCAAAACTCCAAAATCTGAAACACCTCTGAACCCAAACTTTGGATAAGAAATCCTCAACCTGAATTATTG